AAAGCCTGCATTCAGGGAGAAGCTCAGCTCCCTCTGGCATCACCCCCTCGTCACCAATCTGGCCTCAACTTCCCTTTTCTATCTCACCTGTCCCCATGCCCTGCATGTCTGGTCTCAGCTCAGGCCCAACCATCCCACAGCCATCTCCAAACACATTCCATACTCCAGGTCTTTGCTCTCCACCCTCCATCTCTCAAAGTCCATTTCGAATGCCTCCTCCTCCAAGAAGTCTTCCATGATCCCCCAACCTGGTAGAGTTTTTCCCTTCTTAAAGCCCCCAGAGCATTTTATTTGTACCTCTCCTCCCTCCCTGAGCCTCAGTTTCCTGTCTCTAAGTGAGGAAAGCTTGGCTACCATGATCTGTAAGTTTCTTCTAGCTCTAAAGCATCGAGGATTCCATTCTAGGTGTCCTTGAGATTGTCTGATCATCTCCATTAGTCCTTGAGCTCCTTGAAGGACAAAAACTGTATCTTTTCAGCTATCCTCAGTGTCCAGCACAAGGCTGGTGGGTTTTTGGTGACCACAAAGATTGTTGATAGGAAATGGTTTGGAGGGCTGGGTTGAGAAGGCAAGCTCAGTGGATGTGTCACCTGTGCCTGCTCAAAATCCCATGGAAAGACAGAAAACATAGTTTATTAACAGGCTGAAAGATAGAAAACAAAAAAGAATACCACCAGAAAAACAAGAGCAAAATTGGAGGACATATACCATCTAATTTCAAAACTTACTATGAAGCCACAGTAACCCAGACAGTATGGTATTAGTGCAAGGATAGGCATATTGATCAATGGAATGGAACTGAAAGTCTAGAAACAAATGCTTACAGTTATAGTCAACTGATTTTTGACAAGTTGTCAAGACAATTCAACTTCTCAACAAATGGTACCAGGACAACTGGACACATACATTGAAAACAAAACCCCTTAGACCCTTATCTTATACTGTACATAAAAATTAACTCAAAATTAAACCACAGACCTAAGTGTAAGAGCTCAAACTATGAAACAGCTAGAAAATAAAGGAGAAAATCTTCATGACCTTTAGTTAGGCTAAGAGTTTTTAGATATGACACCAAAAGCACAATTAATCAAAGAAAATTGACAAATTGGACCTTGTTATGGATTGTGTCCCCCTAAAGTATGTGTTATAAATCCTAACCCCTTTAGGAGCCCTTAACCCTGGTGCAGTGGTTAAGTGCTTGGCTGCTAACCGAAAGGTCAGTGGTTGGAACCCACCAGCGGCTCCTTGGGAGAAAGACTTGGTGATCTGCTTCCATAAAGATTATAGACTAAGATTATATGCCTTTGAGTGGATTCCTATAGGGTTGCTATGAGTCAGAATCAACTCGAAGGCACACAACAATAATACCCCTGGTTATAATCCCATTTGGGAATAGGGTTTTCTTTGTTTTGTTAAGGAGACATTATTAGTGTTGGGTATGCTTTACATCAATCTCTTTTGAGATTTAGAAGAGCAGGTTAAGCAAGCAGCAAGCAAGCGACGATGAGAGAAGAGAGATGCCAAGCCCCATGAAGAGCAGAAGCTCAGAGACAAGGACCTTCCTCCAGAGTCAACAGAGAAAGAAAGCCTTCCCCTAGAGGCGGAGGCCTGAATTCGAACTTCTAGCCTCCTAAACTGTGAGAAAATAAATTTATCTGTTAAAGCCACCCATTTGTGGTATTTCTGTTCTAGCAGCACTAGATAACTAAGACAGACCTCATCAAAATTAAAATCATTCATCCTTCAAAAGACATTAAGAAAATGAAAAGACAGACCACAGACTGAGAAAATATTTACAAAGGACCAGGGCCGGAAGTGCAAGTGCCTGAAGTAGGAATGTTCCTAGGCAAGAAATCGTAACTAGACCTTTCAGCCTTTATATCAGAATTCCAAACGGCCAGATAGGGTTGGTTTGCCTTCACCCCATCTGCGAAATTGGGGCTAACAGTGGATGCAGCTGTACTGCATCCAGTGGGGAGGGGAGGAGGGTCTGAAGTGAGGCAGTCTTGCAGAGGACTGGCTTCCAAACCTGTGAAATCTGACCTAACTCCAGGTACTCAGGGTCAGAAGAATTGATATTGCCAGTATTCACTTGCATATTTTAAAATTAGTCAAACGGAAATGAATGCATTCTCTTTGTAAAACATTAATACAGATAAAGCTAAAGATTCACTGGACGCTCCTGGCAAATCCCACTCCCCTTCCATGCATCTACACTTAATTACGTATAAACCAGCTGTTCTGATTCGTGGTGATTCCATGCGTGTCAGAGTAGAACTCTGCTCCATAGGGTTTTCAGTGGCTGAGCTTTAGGAAGTAGGTTGCCAGGCCTTTCTTTCAAGGCTCGGAGCAGCAGAGCATGTTTACCATTTGCACCACCCAGGGGCTCCAAATATGGAGTTTTTATTTTCCTTTTTACATAATTAGCATTATGCTGTATGAACTGTTTTATAGTTTGCCTTTTTCACTTGATGGTAAGCTGTGGAGGTGTTTCCACAGCTGTACCTTCAGCCTTGCCTAGAGCCATTCTTTTTATCAGATGTCAGTTATGTACATTTTTGAGGTCCCTGGATGGTGCAAATGGTTCGCACTCGGTGGTGCAGTGGTTAAGAGCTCAGGCTGCTAACAAAAGGTCAGCAGTTCAAATCCACCAGCGCTCCTTGGAAACTCTACGGGGCAGTTCTCTGTCCTACAGGGTTGCTATGAGTCAGAACCAACTTGATGGCAACGGGTTTGGTTTTTTTTTTTTTTTCTTTTTGGTTTGCTAAGCTAAAGGTTGGTAGTCCAAACCCATTCACCAACACTGTGGAAGAAATGCCTGGTGATTTGCTTCTGTAAAGATTACAGCCAAGAAAACTCTATGGTCCAGATCTACTCTGTAATGCGTGGCGTCGCCATGAGTTGGAATTGACTCAGTGACAGTGGGTTTGGGGTTTTTTTTTTTTTTTGGTATATACATTTTTTAACTACTTCCTTGCTGAAGGACATATAGCTTGTTTCCATGTTTCTGCTGTTAGAAATGATGATACAGTCAACTACCTGGATTGAAGGTATTTATATTTTAAATTTGAGTAACTACTGTTAAAATGCCCTTCAAGGTGGCTGTACCAGTGTATACTTTCCCCAGAAGGAGATGGAGGTACACAACCATTTTCCTACATGTAATTAAAAAAAAAAAAAAAAATTCTTTTGTACTTTTGCCAAACTAATGGGCAAAATGTTATTTTAATTTGCATTTCCCTGATAGCAAATGAGGTTGAGCTTTAGTACATTTGTTCTTTGCCATCTAAGTTTATTTTTCCATAAATCGCTTATTCATATCACTAGCCTACATTTTAATTGAGTTGTCCTTTTATCAGTTTGTGTGAACTCTTTGTATATTGTAGATATTGATCTTTTGTCTTCTATACATACATACATATATATATCAAATATTTTCTCCACCAATCTTGTCTTTTAGCTTTGTTTTTGATGCTTTTCTTGTAACAGAGCAGATCAGTAGCGAGAAAACAATGAGCATTTGTGTTTAAGGACCTAGACTTTTAGAGTCAGACAGCCTGCGTTCAAATCTTGTCTCTACCACATTCTAGTTATGTGACATTATGAAAATTACCCTAAGCCCTATTTTCCCATCTGTAAAATGGGTATAATAATCGTATCTTTCTTTTAGGGTTGTAAAGATCAAATAAGAAAATTTACTTTAAGAGGACTTGGCATAATCTCAAATTTATCAGTCTTTTATATGTGTTATTTAAAAGGGTCGCCTCCGACCCTAAAGCAATCAACGCTTCTATTTTCCTCTTCAAATTTCTTTCATAGCTTTGAATTTTGCTCTTAGGTATTTAAGTCAATTGAAATATTTTTCATATGATATGCAAAGGGGTAGCCAGTTGTCCCCACGCACTTAAATGACTAGCGTATCCTTGTCCCACTGATTTGATCATCTATTAATTCCAACTCACAAGGGTCTGTTTTTGAACTCTCCTCTCTGCTCTACTGATTTATTCCTGAGCCCACACCTCTTTCTAGAGCTTTAGAACAAGTAGTTCTAGCAGGCTGGGGCAAGCTTCTTTTGTTGTTCTTTTTCAAAACTGTCTTGGCATTTTTTGTACCCCCCTTGTCTAAACTCAGCCTGTGAGGTTCAAAGGCAAATGCTGCAGGGCTTTTGAATGAACTGTCCTGAAAAACTGGACGTGTTTACAACCCTGTGTCTACCTACCAGGGACCTTTTGTCTCCGCAAATTCTATTCCTCCCTTCTCAGCTAACCCAGGGTAGATCTGAGACACAACCCCCAAGGATGAAAGCTCCTATTACCCCACTTCCCCTTGAAGCAAGAAAGGCTGGACACAAATTGCCAAGCGAGTAGATTTGAAAAGGAGCCGAACAATATGTGTCTGGGAAAGCAGGCTATTCAGGGAGGTGACCTTGGAAATGCAGCTGACAGTTTGCCAAGACAGGCGTCTGTGCCTCCTGAATTCTCCTCCAATGACTCTGGAAACAAGAAGCTTTGCAGGAGCAGCTACAAAATTCTGGGAACCATACGCCTTTGGAGCTGGGGTCCAATTCTAATGCTCCCCATCCCCATTTTACAGATGAAGAAAGTGAGGCTGAAAGGCTGAAGAAAGAGACAAACCTAGACGGATCTGGTCTCCCCTCTTTTCCCAGAGCTGAGCATAACGTAGCAGGAGGATCAAGTGCCATCTGAAGGTGGGGAGGATGCACTCCACCCCCAGGGTTCATCTCCGTCCCAAACAGGCCAGTGCGCACGTCCTGGGATGGATTTTCAATTTGATGGTTCCCTCAGATTAGGCTCCCCTCCCCCGACACATCCCTCCCCCTTTAGGAAGAGACTAGTCCTCGGCTCATGCTATTCACAGGATTTATTGTCACTGGCTATTGACCAGCAGGGGAAGGGGACACACAGTCAGGTTTCACCGAGGGGAGAGGCTGCACTGGGCACCAGCACTGTTTACACACTCTCCACACGAAGGGCACGTCCTCACTGGCAGCAGCTACACTTCTCCGCCTCTGCCTGGGCCCCCTCATCGCCTTTGCACACACAGTCCTTGGCACATTTCTCGCACTCAGCAGGGCAGCAGGAGCAGCAGCCTGCAGATAAAAATGAGAGTGGGGTTAGTGCCCAGTCTGATGGCCCCTGCAGTCCCACCTGCCTCTCCCAAAGGGCTAGGGAAAGAGGAAAGGGGTGCTACCTGGCTGGGAAGCCATATTGGTTCAGCCAGAGCTGGTGGATGCCCCCTTCCTAGCCTCCCACCTGATATGACTCAGCATTTATGGTTTTACCACTGGGAAGCTGTGCTGAGTAATTAATCCACAGCCCCTGGACTAGCCCACAGACCCTTCGGTGAGTGCCAGGGAGGTTCCACCCACACCTCCCTTCCTCCCTTCCCCCTCCCCGTTCCCCCCCCCCGCCCCCCTATAGTGGGGTTAGGCCCAGACTGGGGCATGCTGGAATTCAAGGAGAAAGCATCCAGGGTAAATGGCATCTGAAAAGGGCTTTGAAGGATAGACTTGGAGGAGCAGAGATGCTGCAGGTGTAGGGGTCCAGGAGATTCCAGGAAGATGCGTGCCTAGACTTACACACAAGGGACGAAGGGAATCTCCTTCCACCTCCTGTCCTCCTTGCATATTACCCTGGGCATGCTCGGGAGACTTTGAGGGATTAAATTGAGAGGATCCACGAGGCCTGAGAGAGGCCAAGGGATCCGAACTCTAGAGCTCTCCCCAGAAGCACTGATGGCTCCCCCAGGCACTGTGGGCTGTGAGGGGCGAGGCTGAACCTGGGTAGCGGTTCTCCATCCCAGATGCCCGGTAGAATCTTCTGGGAGTTTACAAAAATACCTCGCCAACTGAATCAATCTCTAGGGGTGGGGCCCAGACATCTCTATTTTAAGGTCTCCCCAGGTGATTCTCTCCAGCAAGGGTTGAGAAGCAATGGAATAAAGGCCTGGGGGCTCTCCATATCCTGCGTGGCCCGACGCAGACTCAGGGGTGGAGCGGGGGTGGTGGGCGCTCCCCACACTCACTCTTCTCGCAGGGGTTGCATTTGCATCCCTCGCACTTGCAGGAACCAGCGCAGGTGCAGGAGCCACCTGGAGAGGGAGACGCCACAGAGAGGATTAATGTGGTAAAACCCGGGGGACCCCAGTCCTCAAAGGGGGAGATGGAGTGCCAAATCTCCGCGCCGTTCGGGACATGGCCGTGCCTTCCTTCACGACGCTAAAAATGGAAAATGAGGGGCCCGTCCCCAAGTGTTCTTGAGCAAAGGCGTAGGGGACGGTATTCTTTGCAAGCAAGAGGCGCGCTGTGCCGCAGGATGGGGGCGGGGGCTCACCAGTAGGGCAGGGACAGGTCTCAGGGTCCATGGCGAGGCGAGCAGTAGATGGAGGCGGTGAGCGGGCTTCTCCGAGCAACTGGACGCAAAGCTAGCGACAGCACGTGGCGAGGCTTTTATAGCCCCGAGGCGGGGGCGCGCAAGCAAAGCCCGCTCGGCGCGCGCCCCTGCGCACGGCCCACGCTCTCAGGTCTGTGTGCACAGGCCCCGGCGCACTGCGGCGGCGATCCCCCCACCCCCGCCAAGTGCACGGTACGGGGCGCCCCGGTCCCGTCCCATGTGTGCGACCCTACTCCCACCCTGCTGCCATGTGCACAACCGTGTACGCACCGACCTCCCCAATTCCCCGGTATATGCTCACAGCTACCCGTCTCCCCTCGTGTGTACGGCGGGGGACGCTCGCCGCCCGCTCGTGTGCGCGCTGCCATGTGCGCAGCTGAGGACGCGTCCGCCGTTGCAGCCGCCGCCTGGTAAAAAGGCTAACTTCCCACCTCTGAAAGTGGAGGGAGAGAGGGAAGGGGGCTTTGCGTATTTCCCAGTACCTCTCTGCCTCTCATCGCCCTTGTTCTAGAATTCTCAGGGACGCCAGATTCGTCCAAATGAAGGGCAGAGCTGGGGCAGAAAAATCCCCTTCCACTGAGTCCAGCGCTGACTATTGCACCGGTGTCGTGCCGCAGGAAGGGGTCATCTTCAGTTCTGCCTCCCCCGGTGCTCAGCACCTTCTTTCTTATCCTTGACTTCTATCCCTCTATATTATACAAATAAAGAACAGTGAGGCCCAGAAGGGAGGGGACCTGTCTAGGTCCCAGACTGAGCTGGAGGCAGAGTGGGGCTTAGTACTTACGTACCCAGAGTCCACTGGTCTTTTCATCTGCCAACCTGCTGTTCTAGGACTTGGACTCAGTTTTCTCATCTGTCCAGCTGAGAAAGAATTATAACCCTTTAGCAGTGGAAGGGCTTTGTCAACTGGCTTTGCTAGAGAAGTGGCCCTGGGGCTGTCTCCTGAAAAAGGTGGGTCTGACGAGCTCCCAGACTCAGATTTTGCTGAGAGGGGGATACTGGGACTCTCAGGGAGAGGCTGAGCACGGCTTCAGCTGTTTCCCATGCAAAGCTGAGCCTCTGCTCTAAATCTCAGCTGGCGATGTACTTTAAAATGCTGGTTGGAACCCCCTCCCCGCAAAATGTTAACCACCTGGGAGCCTCCCAATACCTCAGCTGAGGAGTTGAGCTAGCTAGTTTTTCTGGGCCTCTGAAGGTCTGTCATGTGTTGGTCCATGAGTCTAAGTTTGAGTAAATTTGAAGAAAGAAGAACAAGGATGAGGAGGAGGAGGGGAGGATGAAGGGGAGGAGATAAAATCATCTAATTATTTAACTTGAAGCCTGAATGTTTTCTTAGCTGTAGCTTCATGGAATTTCAGATCTTGGTGCTCATCAGCGCTAGCACTACTCGTTTTGTTTTGCCAAAGGACACTCTGGCCTCATTCTTCTCTGGCCTAGGCCCAGGACTGCCCCTAGCCCTCAAGGCTTCTCTGTGTAGGATCTTCAATGCCAGGTGATGTGTATGTCCCAACACACCCCAAGAACTCAGCCAAGGCCACCTCCTCTCCCTTCCCCTGTAATCCTCTCAGGTTTCCTTGGGATTGGGGCTTCATAGCTAGGATATCAACCTCCTCTCCAAGGGTGACTGTGACATTATTGTTGTTAGCTGCCATAGAGTCAGCCCTTGACTTATGGTGACCCCATGCACGTTGGAACAAAATGCTGATCGATTGGTTGTGGATTGGACCATTGTGATCCATAGGGTTTTCGTTGGCTGATTTTCGGAAGTAGATCACCAGGCCTTACTTCCTAATCTGTCTTAGTCTGGAAGCTTCACTGACAGCTGTTCAGCATTATAGCAACACACAAGCCACTACTGATAAATGAAGGGTGAAAACCACAACATCCTTCTAAACATGCTTCCCTCCCCAACTCTTCACATGGCCGGGCCCCTCTTGTCCTTTAGTTCTCAACCTCCATGACCTCAGAGGAGCTTTTCATGTACATGTGTCCCTCCAGGAGGTCCCCTTCACCCTCACCTTTATTTCCCTCTGACCCTTTGTTAATTCTCACAACCTGAAATGATTTTGTCTGTGTTCCCTCTGCCTGTGATGCTCTTTCCCCAGATATCCACATGGCTCATGCCCTTCTTTCTTTGCTTTTAAGTCTTTGTTCAAATTTTACCTTCTCAATGAAGCCTACTATGATTGCCCTATTTAAAATTATAATATACTCCTCAACCCTCAGTACTCTTTTTTTTCAATTGTACTTTAGATGAAGGTTTACAGAGCAAACTGGTTTCTCATTAAACAATACAGAATTGTTTTGTGACATTGGTTGCCAACCCTAGGACATGTCAACACTCTCCCCTTCTCGACCTTGCGTCCTGCATTACCCACTTTCCTGTCTCCTCCTGCCTTCTCTTCCTTGCCCCTGGACTGTGATTTAGGAGATAATATTGGAGCCATTATTCCCTGTCCGGCTGGAGCTGGACTCACAAGGAACTACAAGGACTCACAAGGACACATCAACTGGGCCCTGAGGTATAAAGACAATAGCTAGAACAATTTTGGAAAACACGTTTTGGGGAAACTTTCACACAAACATCATAAACAACGTAAAAGACCCATATACTTTCAGCTCTTATGTTTTTCTATTAGCATTTAATAAATAGTAAGATTTGTTGGACCAATGAAGACCTTCCTGACTGTCGTTTCTGAAACCCATACCAATGATTATTAAGAAAGATAACTCAAGATGTAGAATCACAGTGATTTGGCAGTTTTAGCCAATCTCTGAAAAGGTGAAGCTTTCAATGGTTTTGCCCATTTGTAATGTTAATATATACTGATGATTCCGTAACGTTTCTCAGACTCTGGCAGACAAGGCTGTGGCAGCATGCTTGTCCGTTTCCCACTTTTGCCTTTTTGAATATATGCTGAATAAAATTTTTTCTTTTTTCTTTATTAAACTTTATGATGTTTTTACACTAGAAGACCTGGTGTGCCCAGTTAGCCTTGTTTTGGTTTATGGGCCTGCGTAATCTTTGGCCGAAGGGTGAACCTCAGGAGTGACTTCGTTACTGAGCTAAAAGGGTGTCCGGGGGCCATACTCTCGAAGTTTCTCCAGTCTCTGTCAGACCAGTAAGTCTGGTTTTTTTTTTTTTTTTTGTAAGTTAGAATTTTGTTCTACGTTTTTCTCCAGCTCTGTCGGGGACCCTCTATTATGATCTCTGTCAGAGCAGTCAGTGATGGTAGCAGGGCGCCATCTAGTTCTGCTGGACTCAGTCTGGTGGAGGCTGTGGTAGTTGTGGTCCATTAGTCCTTTGCAGAAATCTTTCCCTTGTGTCTTTGGTTTTCTTCATTCTCCCTTGCTCCAGACAGGGTGAGACCAGTGGGGTATCTTAGATGGCCACTAACTAGCTTTTAAGACCTCAGATGCTACTCACCAAAGTAGAATGTAGAACATTTTCTTTATAAAGTATGTTATGCAAGTTGAGCTAGATGTTCCCTGAGACCATGGTTCCCACAGCCCTCAGCCCAGTAATTTGGTCCCTCAGGGAGTTTGGATGTGTCTAGGGAGCTTCCATGACCTTGCCTTGCACAAATTATGCTGGCTTCCCCAGTATGTTGTACTGTCTTACCCTTCACCCAAGTTACCACTTATCTATTGCCTATTTAGTATTTTTTCCTCCCAGCCCTTCCCTTCCTCATAACCATCAAAGATTGTTTCTTTTTGTGTGTAAACCTTTTCATGAGTTTTTATAGTACTGGTCTCATACAATATTTGTCCTTTTGTGATTGACTTAGTTCACTCAGCATAATGCCCTCCAGATTCATCCATGTTGTGAGATGCTTTGCACATTCATCATTGTTCTTTATCATTGCATAGTACTGCATTGTGTGTATGTACCTACCATAGTTTGTTTATCCATTCTTCTGTTGATGGGCACCTAGATTGTTTCCATCTTTTTGCTATTGTGAACAATGCTGCAATGAACATGGGCGTGCATATGTCTATTTGTGTGACGGCTCTTATTTCTGTAAGATATATTCCTTGGAAAGGGATTGCTGGATCATACGGTATTTCTATTTCTAGCTTTGTAAGGAAGCGCCAGATCATTTTCCAAAATGGTTGTATCATTTTTCATTCCCACCAGCAATGCATAAGAGTTTCAGTCTCCTGCATCCTCTCCAGCATTTATTGTTTTCTGTTTTTTTTTATTCGTGCCAGTAATGTTGGGGTGAGATGGTATCTCATTGTGGTTTTGATTTGCATTTCTCTAATGGCTCGTGATCACAAGCATTTCCTCATGTATCTGTTAGCCACTTGAATGTCTTCCTTGGTGAAGTGTCTGTTCATAAAGTTTGCCCATTTTTTAATTGGATTATTTGTCTTTTTGTTGTAGAGGTATTGGATTTTCCTGTAGATTTTATAGGTTAGACCTTTCTTGGATTTGTCATAGTCAAAATTTTTTTCCCAGTTTCTCTTTTACTCTTTTGGTGAAGTCTTTTGATAAGCATAAGTGTTTAATTTTTAGAAGATCCCAGTTATCTAGCTTATCTTTTGGTGTTTGTGTGTTGTTAGTTATGGTTTGTATCCGTTAATGACATGTATTAGGGTCTCTAGCATTGATCCTATTTTTTCTTCTATGATCTTCATAGTTTTTGGTTTTATATTTAGGTCTTTGATCCATTTTGGATTAATTTTTGTGTATGGTGTGAGGTATGGGTCCTGTTTCATTTTTCTGCAGGTGGACATCCAGTTTTGCCAGCACCATTTGTTAAAAAGACCCTCTTTTCCCCCATTTGATGGACTTTGGGCCTTTGTTAAAGATGAGGTGACCATAGTTGGATGAATTTACATCTGGACAACCCCTACTACTCTTGATTCCCCTTACCTTGCCTTTTTTTTTTCCCCCACAACACTTAACACTTTCTAACACACTAAATAATTTACTAATTTGTAATGCTTACGTGTTATCTGTTCCCT